TATATATATATATATGCCGGTGACTGTTGAAAAATAACTCCCGACAGGGGAAGAGGGTGGGAGTGGATGAACCCGGTTAAAGAGTACCCGCCCGGACAGGACGCTGTAAAACTAAGGCGAGCGCGCCCACAAGGAGGCAAGGATCATTTCATTGGTCAACAGTCAATCTGGCATTCTATTGGTTGGGGGATTTTGACAGGGTTGTTACACAAAAAAATCCAAGTGCAGGGCAGAAATCTGAGAGCAGAAATTCCACAAGAGCACAGAAACAGTTTGAGCACGAGGAGAAAAGCCGAAGCTCGAGCAGGAAATCTGTGCAAGCAAATGGTATCTGAGTGCGTGCAACATGGTATCTGAGTGCGTACAACATGGTATCTGAGTGTGAGCACACAGTTTGAGCAGAAACAGAGTAGATCCAAGTGCAAGCAGAGGCTATTTGAGTGTGAGGGCAGGGTTTTTGAACGTGAAATCAATAAATAATGCTCTCAAACTGATAGACCACTCTCTTGAATAAAGATAGGGATAAAGCTCCATAAGAGTCTGTCTTGTTAGACTGGTTGGACTGGGGTTTTATTGATGCAAGATGCACTGATATCAGAATACAGACTCCCTATCTTAGTGGATTTTTATTGTTGGACATAATTTAGTCCATCGAAATGCCAATAAAAATTAGCACTATTTAATTGTAACCATTGTCCAATATAAAGTTATAGTGGTTAATTTAAGCATTTATCAGCAGTGAGGTAAAAGTCATTTGAAAATCTGCAGGGAAGTCTAACGATAGTCGCGATTGCAGCTGTGCCAGAAGTACAAGGAGCAAAAATCTAAGTGTGTCTTTGTAAACAGATGATCACCAAAAAAATCATCTCTGTTTGATGGTACAGTTAATCTTGCCGGTTTTGCTGGCTTATCCAAGAAGTGATGTGATGGCCCAATGCAAGCCGACGAAAACGTGCACACACAACACTGTGTGAATCAGGACGCAAGACACCACCTCCGGGTGAAGTACCAAGTTTTTAAGGAGTCCCTGTCTTTTTAGGGCCACTAGTATCACCTTGATATCCTTCACATTTTTACAAAAAGATACACTTAATAAATAAAATCTCACATTTCCAAACACTTGCCTAAACAGAAACAAATGCACTACTCACTAAAACATGTACACTGTTAAAATTACACATGCATCTCACTTGCTTGCCGACAACAAAGCACACAATAGCAACGCATCCAACAGTTACATCCAACAGACAGCCTTCCTACACTTTAATTGGTCCTTCATTAGTTGCCTGCTAATAGGTTTAACTGAGTGGGGGATAAGTTAATGTTTGTAACTCTTTCCAGAACGAATTATCACATGGGGTATCAGGTGTGGGCCTCCCTGGGGGACAACCTTCCCTGCTGTTTTAACCAAACCAAGAACTTGACACTTGATTTTTCCAAACCTGCTGGTAATATCATAACAAAGGGCTGACTTGATGGAATCATCATGTGACACTTTACTGCTGCTGACTAACATTAGTCAGTGCAAGGCAAAGAGAGACAGAATGACGGCATGACAGGAGAGCTGAGCATCCACCAGTGTGATGCCAGACTAGCAGTGCCATCTCCATGTAACGCTCCAGGGACAGCTTTACTTAAGAGATCCGGGGCTATGTAATCAGACCCCCAGCCTGTGATTAATGTTGCTCATCTGTCTTCAGGCCCGTATAGCTCAGTACAACTTAGCACAGCTCACCCAAGATGCTGTTTACTGCACACCATTTTGCCTGCAGCCATGGAAATAAGTTGAATCCATTCCACCTAGAGAGCCATGAGATGTGGAAGAAGCTAACATCCAACAAACTGTGAAAAACAGCCACAAAAACAAACCGCATGATTCCTGACTGTACTTAATGCCTAAGCTTTGTGCTGTGTGTCTTTTATCAGTGGCCAGGAGGATGTTTTGTTCCATTTCTGCAGCTCACCTTTTAAATGACTTGTTTTGGAAAGCAAAAAGAAGTCTTATAGGCAATCCAGCTCTACTTTAACTGCCCCTCGAGTGAAGCAAGGCTGAGCAAAGGATGGATTTATGAAGCGTGCCAAGCATCTTCCAGTGCTAACATCATCAAAAGTACCTCCCTACCTGTCGGCACACTGTATTAATGAGCTATTAGGTGTTTGAGGGTAAACAATTTACAGTGTTGGCTTATTTACCGCATGCTCAGGGAAAAGTGCATCTGGGTTGGGAGCCTCCTCTCGCCAGGGAGCCCATCCATCTGCTGCCACCACCGTGCTATTTGTTCTACCTCTTGGACAGATTTACACAAACCTTTTGTCGTTAGGCTGACATGTCTATTTATTATGGGGAAACCCTCTTAAAACAAGAGAACTGCACAGGGTGTTGCCCCCATCCCCCTGCCCCTATGCATTTAATTTACAAACTCTTTAAGTGGATTTTAAATCAGCACAAGCTATGAGCATTCCTAAGGTACGCCCCTGAAAAAAAACTTTGTGCATTCTGAATCAATACCAACAATTCTATTACGAGTCCATACATACAGTCAATGTGCAAAGTCAATAGTGTACTCTACATGCAGTGAGCATCTAACAGCAGGCTTGACAGCTGTAATGCTCAATTCAGGGGGATTATGGACAGCCCTAAGAAAACTGTATGAGTAAAGATGAATCACCTTTGTGCAGGAGATATTTTGAAGAGTCGCATCATTCTTTAAGTTAAAGCACAGGAAAAAAATCATCTCATGTCTCACATGCAGAGTCATGAGTCCCATTATAGAGGTAGAAATGATTGATAAATAAAAACAGTTTGTTAAGCTTTAAACCTGTTAAATGTGATTGTTAGGGCAGCTGGAAACAACTGTTACAACACTGGCATATTGTTGTGTTTTAATATAATATGGCAAACAGCTGCCCATTAACACCTCCATCAGTTGTAGAGCAACATTAGCATTCATATGGAGCAGTGTTTCTGACCACCTGTTGATTATAAGTCTAAATTTACTCTCTTTTAAGCTCTGTTTAGTCTCCACCAACTCCTGAGGGAAATATCTGGCTCTTTAGCTGCTAGATGCTCAACTATTTTCCCCAGCTAGTCGTTAACTTTGCCTGTTTGGTGCTGAGCAGGTAGTGTAGAGGGGATTTTTAGAGCGTTGAAAACAGATGCCTGCAGAGGCCGTACATAATAACATGAGAGCGGTGAGACTGAACCAAAACAGTAAAGTTGCGAATCAGAAAACCAAAACAAGAAGCTGAAAGACACTGTAAAGCCCAGTTGAGCTCACAAGTACAGCAGGGTCAGGTGATAACTCTCTGTGGGTTCATCATCGCGAGCGACTTGTCACATTACATTTAGCCATTTGAGCCAATGTTATTGTAAAAATACTGATTATAGCTGTTTCAATTTGTTATGTTTTTTGGAAGTTTTGTGAATGTGTGTGTGTTGTGTGTCTAAGTGTATAAGCTATTGTATTCTCTTACCAAAGTCTTTGTGGGATGACATCCAGCCAATCTCCTTGAGGGAGACAATAGCCAGCAAACCATAGCCCACGAAGGAGCCAATCCCGGAGAAGAAAAAGAAGAGCCCCATGATGGCACTCTGCATGGACTTGGGGGCTGCAGAGTAGGCAAACTCCAGACCTACAACAAAAAAGAGTGAAAAGACCAATATTTGTTGAATTGCTGTGGAATACGTAGGGTGTAGAACAGTAAAACTAGTTTATATACTCTGAGCTGTGGCACATAAATGCAAGGCAGGGTGAGGCAAGCTTATTTATATAACACCTTAATAAACACAAAGGTTATTCAAAGTGCTTTACCGGCAAAAGATAAGCATAAAAACATATAGAATAAAAGACAACACATAAAAGCACAGTCAAGTTTAATAAAAGGGACGAGTTTAAAACCCAAATTGATAAAATAAATTAAAGTACTATAAAAACTGATTAATAAAAGGCCGTGGAAAAGAGAACAGTATTAAGCTTAGTTTTTAAAATGGCTACAGTTCGGACATATCTTAGTTCCAGGGGGAGCTGATTCCAGTGGTGGGCACTGGGCAGTATGATGGCTGAAAGCTGTTTCACCACATTTGAAATTAACTCTGGACACCACTAGCTGACCAGTCCCTACAGCTTTCACTCCCAAATATATCTGGGATATATTTTGGGCCCAGACCCCTGGATGACTTAATGACAATAAGTAGGCCCTTCAAGTCAATTCTATATTCAACTGAATGTCAGTGTAAGGATCTAAGAATTGGTGAAATGTGTGTTCTCTCTTAGAGAAAGCATACGATGTTACAGCCAGTTAGAGTGTAATGTAGCCTGTGCTATAATGCTATCTAGTGCTATAATGCTATCTATGGGCTTTGCCTGAATACTGCCGAGCTCATGTCTGTGACAGTGGAGCAAACAGGATAACAATATGTATGTGGGTATAAATCTGTCTTTATGCATCTATGTAACATGATGGGTTTTGTTTACACGACTGTTTCCCTCTTAGTATATTGCATGTGAGACAAAAAAGGCTTCCTCAGCAGCCGCTTGGCAGCTAATTTTCCATGGTGGCGCTGGTCTGTGGTGCCATTGTTGGCTATCTACTGTGCTTGGTACTGGTCTCAAAAACAGTTATTTCTGGATAACACATCACTCAGTATTTACTGTGTCATGAAAGAAAAAAATGAGTGAGAAAATGGGCAAGGGACCTAAGAGAAAGAAAGATGAGGAGGGAGAAAAAAACATCAAATATGTGTCTTTTTTGCCTCGAGATCTGTCTGCCTGCAAGCTGACATTGATAATTTCATGGCACCTCAAACATGTGATTTTTCAAATGAGGCCCTATAGCTACATCTGTCAGGAGAGATTAGGGAGCTGCTGTTAAATACATTTGCCTTTTAAGACCTTCCTTGGAGGGGGACATTGCACAAATTAATGTGATGAACGGCTTCCTTACAGATACCTGTGCTCGTTGTGGGGAAAAAAAAAAGCTTCAGAAGAAAAGGGATGAGATAAGAGCATTGTAAACACAAGGTTATTACTCAGTGGAAAACGTGAATGACCTTTCCAAAAGTTCAGAACGATACATTTGTTTATATCCTAAGCTAACCTTTTGATAGCAAAAAAAAAAACCACTGGTCAATAGCTATGCATATCACAGGAGACTGCAAAGGTTGTTGAGTTTGTTGAGGTCTCAGATACAGCTCTGCAAAGTAAGGAGACAGCACTGATCAACATCATAATATTATGATGTATCTGAGGTCTCAGATACAGCTCTGCAAAGTAAGGGGACAGAACTGAACAACATCATAATATTGTGTTTAACCCAGCTCTTGTCTGTCTGTGACAACAAATAATTCACGGAATAAAGTGAGCTTGACCTTTCTCAACCAAAAGGGCAGAATTACTGAGAAAAAAAAATAAAACCAAAAAAAGGCATGGAATGTAAAATGTATATATCATGTTTTCCTCCCAAGGGCATCCTTAGAGGGGTGATTTTTCTTTCTTAGAAAAAAACATTAGCCTTTAACATTTTCAAAAGTGCAATACATAATTAAAATACTGTGGGGAATCATTTTGCAAAAGTTTTTTGCATATTCTTATTGCCTGAAAGCAGACAAACTCTGGTGGTGTACAAGCAAAGAATTACCCATCCTACTACAAGACTGGGGATTGCAGCAAGGAAGTTTGACGGCACCGGAGGTTTTAAACAGATTTATTCAAACAGAAGAAGACTAAGGGGAAATACTCCTTTTAACCAGACATATGTCACAATTCTGTCAGCCAATTTCCTTGAAGTAAGCCCTGTGGGATGGTACGGAGGGAGAGAGGAGAGTAAGTTTATTTTAAGGATCCCTATAGCTTTGTTATGTCTGGATTTGACTTTCATAGGGACGCTGATAGTTTTCTGTGCAAATTCCAGTGTTTTATAGAAGCCTTATGGAGTTCTGTTCAAGGGCTTCATAATACCCAGGCTTATTAAACAAATTTCAATATCCATGGATTTTAAACTTAAAGATGACGAATGTGAATGTTCATTCGTACAAACACCCTGCAGTGACTGGATTGGCTTGATAATCGTTCCACTGGGGTGGAGGGAGAAAAAAAAGTCTTAAATATTAATGGTTCAATCTTCACTCTTGATATAGAAATAAAGCAAGTGCTGTATCGAAGGGCCTACAACAGCATGACCCGTAGTAATAGCAGAATGGCTCAATCACGGCTCCAGGCTTCAACAAACCCGATTCACTGAGATAACTGAGGCCTGAAGCCATGATCTGTAGAGGCTAGAGAGGAAAAGACATGTAGGGAGAGTAGAAAGAAAACTATGGACACAAAACCGATAAACACAATACAAGGCAGATTTCTAGTGTGTGTATAGTGTAGGATAAAAATGGCCCACAGCTGCCACATTGCAATGTTCCATATCATTTTTCACACACACAAACTCCCCTCTTTTAATATAGCAGAATACTGTCGATGTTGCTTCCGTTCTTGTCTCAGATTCTGCAGCCGCAATTTGATACAACATTAGAGCAATTTCTCACTTTGTCACATTATTGTATTACTGGGGCAATATGGCCTTACTTCTTGCAGCTTTTAATGAAACGGCATTTCGTGTTTAGGTCAGGGCTCAAAAAAGAATTAAAAAAACGAGCTGGCTTGCTGAGCAGTTTCCAGCTGATACCCTGAAAGTATCAAAAAGAAGTCTGCGGCTGTCAGCTCCGGTGTGAACTATTATGACCTGCTTTGATTCAATGCTTTTCTTTTTAATCATTTTCCCGGAGAAGAACAGGGAATCTATTTCTCTGGGGAGAGCAAACACTGCTACATTTCCAGTGAACGATTATGGGTGGCCTCGTATTGATGAGCACGTGTCTTTGGATGATATTTACTGGGATGAATCATCTGAGCAGCAACAGTAATACAACTTTAATTCAAATCAGACATGGGGGCCATATTCACAAGCTTCCTGGTGTGAGAAGTTGGTCCAAGTGCTGAAAATAAAAACTTAGAATTGTGATTTTTTTTTTTCCCCCGAAAGAATTCTCCTATCTTCTGTTACAGAAGCCATTTACAAAGGGACCATTAGGCACCTTCTTATAATGAATGAGGAGGAGGGTTACTACAAAAATTAAGACTTTCAGAAAGAGTTCATTTACCCAAGTCACACTCCAATTGGTACTGAGCCATGCAGATAGTTTTGGCTTATTGTGCCAAGGTTTTGAGATATCTACCTTTGGAACTTTGGCTGCCATCCCGATGGAGATAGATCAGAATTTGTTTGTGCTCTACAGTGAGAGATCTGTCAACCTGCAGAATTTTTTATACCCTTTAAATAAAGCAATATCTCTGGTTGCGCAGGGCCATTGTGGACATTCTTGCGAATCAATGAGCCAGACCAACGTAACATACTGATGGTTTTATGCTGCTACAAGGAATCAGACTGTCGACAGCAGACAGACAACATAGTCTGGACGGCATGGGAAAAACAAACAAACACTGAATGGCAGGAGAGTTAAATGAAACATGCATGACGATATGATATGTTGCAATGGAGATGCCATATTGTTTACAAAGACTGAAATGAAATACATTAAATAAAATAATTTTGTCTTCATTATTTTATGTAATTTTTCTAGTAATGAGCAGTACTGTTCAGATCACCGACATTTTTGCTTTGTGTGACGGAGCTACTTAATTTCAGGTTGTAAATTCCATCCCAAAGGATGGAAAAAAGTAAAAATATTTCAAGTATGAGTGGCAACGCAGTCTACCACTGCCACTGCCGTTATTCTCTGCCGGCCTCACCTAATTTTACCATCCTGCTCTCGTCCACTGAAATGATATCCACCATGCCGTCTACCATCTCCCTGATTCCATTCTATGCAGCATTACAGAAAGCCAGTGACTTTTCCTTTGTTCCTGCAGCCATCAGAGTCTACAGGATAATGCCTCCGAAACTGGGAGCTGATGCGTAGCATTCTTATAAGGATTCTTATAAGACTCATTCTCTGCCTCTTTGGTCAACATGCAAGTAAAACTGTCAGCACACTCAAAGCGTTGGAATGATAATTAAAAATATCATCATATTTTGTGTATTCAAGTGTAATACGTCCCTATGAACAGCGTGTCAGCACTAATTGGATAATTAAGAGTTGAACTAGCATTAGAGTGCATGTCAGTACAATTTGTCAGTATCATCTCTCTTGAGTGCAAGTGTGTGTGGGAGAGAAGGCATGGCATACATTGTGATTACTACTTCATATGCTGGTATATATTTAAGTTCAAAGTGGTAAATGTCAACACACTAGCTGACTGAACATGGAGATGAAAAGTTTACGTTATGATGTTAATTGTGTTGCCTCTGTGGCTCTACCCTCGGGGATACATATTACAGTGTTAGGAATATGTCTGTGCATTCATCCATCTTATTATCTAGTGTATTTGTGTGGACAACAAGCAAAGGAAGAGCGCTAATGTGCGGATGGTCACTGGCCTGGCTGGAGGCACAGCTTTCATCATCCTTTCAATTTTAAAAGGTTACTTTATCCACACCTTATTTATAAAATGTCCCATTACTGAACAATGTCTTGCAGTAGTGTGAGAAAATCAGGATAATCAATTATGTATTGACTTCTTGGGCTATTTACTCTGGACTACAAGCCCCAAACACATTAAGCTGGTGCAGGCAATGAATCAAACAAACTGGTCAAAAACAGTTTTCACATTAGTCTTCATTGCATTCTACAAGAAAAACGGGCACTATAGTTTTTAGCCTATAATCCATTCAGAGTGGCTCAGACCATGAGGTTGATCACTGGAGGATACTGTATTTCACTTTCAGTCTGAATCATCACGTCTACCTGACCACGCTGCAAATTGAGACACATGGAGATGTCAAACAACTGTACCTGCAATGCTGGCAAAGATTTCGCTGATTCCTATCAGCACATATTGAGGAACTTGCCACCATATGGGTAAATCTGCCACGTAGTAGGTAACGTTGCCAAGCACCTGGTCAATGGTACCATTTGCTTTGACGATCTCCAGGCGTTTGGTCTCCAAAATACCTGAGGGGACAGAAACAGGAAAAAATGCAAAGTTATCGGGAGGGTAAACGTAATAAAAAATTGGACAAAGATTTGTCCACTGCACACAACACAGTCTTCTTTGGTATCCCACCCCTAAAATGAAAGGTCATAACTGTGCAAGCTAATGCTGTAGTGGTTGCTTCACTGGTAGTTGGCAGACTTATTCGTTTAAACTGGAAGTCAAATAAAGCCCCGTGATTCTTACAGTGGTTAAGAGAGGTGCTTTCTGTTCTGCCTTTAGAAAAACGCACATATAAAGTAAGTAAAGTCTCCAAGAACTCCTTTAAAACCTGGAGCCTTTTCATGGACTTTGTTGAAGACTTTACTTTCGTTGAATGTTCACTTTACCACAGCAATTGAACAGATGTATGTGCATACTGTTACACTGTGTTCAAAAAAGGCTTTTGTTTCCTGTGTATTTAAATGGGATGTTCCTGTGTGGTTCCCCATGCTTCTCTTTTTAGTTCTCTCTTTTTCTCTCTTTTTTTTGTTTGTAGTTTCTCTTTCTTGAGCCTTGGGGGGAGGGGCTCATATTTATATACACTACTTGCATTTCTGTATTATGTTAACGTGATTTCCATGACCAGAAAAAGGAAAAATTAAAAAGGAAGTATTCAAAAACATAAAAGAAAAGAACCACTACACACATGTACTGTATATAAGCTAAAATTCTGTAACATACAGTACACTTAACTAAAGAAAAAAATGCAAAAAGGGCATCGGTTGAATCTTAAGACTTGTACATTTCAGTCAGGAAAACAGCCAAGTGTTTGCATTTAAAGTCCATGACACCAACAAACAGCTAAACACTGCCAGAGTTAGAGGATTCAGTGACACTCCATTAAGCATATAACTAGTTTTACAGCTACCCTACCATTTAATTAAGATCACATCTGCATGTCTCCATATTATGGCAGTTAGAAATGGACCAGTGCAGACGGTTCAATAATAAGACCCAAGCAGTTGTCATCAACCACTGCCGCCTGCTAAAAGCTTTATTCGATAGAGCTATTATCATGTAACCAGCGGCTATTTCCAGATAACTCCCAGAGACAGCCTCCTATCATAACTACACTTAATGCTGTATTTGAGAGGACTTGTAGCCTTGTAATCCGGCTATCCTATAATACCAGCCGTCCATCTCGGGCAGTGTGGCTACTGGGCTGCCAAGAGCAAGAGTCACACTATAAACACACACTACTGCCTTTTTTCTCCCGTACTAAACGTCACACATCAGACAGCCCAGTGTGATCCTGGCAACTGTGCTCCAGCTTTTATGAAAAATAGAGATGTTTTTGGACACCTAAAAGCCATTGAGCTTTAACCAAAGAAGATTATAAAGTTAAGAGAATGTGATAAAAACGTGCTAAAAAAAAATCTCTTCAAAAGCAATGTCAGTGCAGCTTTTCAGAGCTGGCCCCAGTATGTGGCTTAAGTCTGGGACTGTTGTGCGCAAATGAAAAGCAGATCAGAAACAGTGCACTGTCCGCTTGACAGTATGTCTTCAGCTGTCCCTTTGCACTACAAGGGAGGTCCAGCTGTCCTTGTGCCACGCGTTTCAGCAAGTGCAATGAAACTCTGTGAAATATCGCCGCACCAATGACATCATGACAAATTCCTTCGCATTTGTTGCACGCAGTGATGAAAGTGATTCTAACTCTGAACAGCAGTGGTGTGGCCAATGTTGTGGACACAGAGTGGCAGGGCTGACAATTCGATGTGTTGGACTGGCTATTCTCTGGGCAAAGGATGCCACACTTGGTTGTTCACAGCTCTCCATCTGTCAGTCTCTGAGCACAACATGATTTCAGCTAGTGGACAGATGCAGATAAGCACTGAGGACACGCGGACAGCAAGCTGAAGGAAATGCAGTTCAAAATGTAATAACACTGTAAGGCAGCTCCCAGGAGCCAATGCGTGTAACTGTATTAATGTGAGGCAGTGCTGGGGATAAACAGCATACAGGCTCAGCACATTATTCTTGGATGAATAATTGTTAAAACACTGTGCAGATACACTATCATTAATACCATATCTAAATAACTAATTTTACACAGTCCATTGCTGTACAGATTTTATCCAGTTGTCTGATTAGACTCCTAAAATCCAGGTCAGAACGGTGTTACACAGTAGTTGTGTATTCACCTACTGTTCTGTGACCAATGGCCACACCAGTGTACCATCATAAACCCTTTCTCTCCACTCTCAGGACTCAAAATTGCTTTCTGCAATATTCAGAATTCATTTAGTCTGAATTCAAATGCAGGGATTGCACTTTCTTTCAAGAAGCCAAATGGAAAAGTAAATACCTGAATAGCTTTTGAACATCAGAAAATGAACATGTTAGAGCACCTTTCCTCCCAGGAATGCTCATGTTCTCTAAAAAGAAAATATTACTTTAAACCGAAAAGTAGACACATTAGATTTGGTTAATAGACCTTTCACCACATCTCTGTGATTGAAAAGAATGTTTTTGATGGGCTAAGTCGGGCTTTAATAACTTGCTAGAACATCTGAGTACTCTCCGTCTGTAAACTTTCCCATCTCTTCTTCTCCATGTTTATATAAAATAAGGCGAAAGGATGAATTTAGTCCATTTCCTCTCTCTTACCCATAAAAACAGTCTGACAAAAAAACAAGTAGCCTTCATTACTGTACCAATATTCAAAAATATAACTTATTGATATTTGACAGGTTTCTTTGTTTTGCAGATATGTGCCTGATGTATAAATTACTTTATATTCTTGTGCCATCACTACTTAAACAATGTGTCATTCTGCAGGAAAAACGATAGGGAGACCAAGGAATCAGTCAGAGGTGAGTGCTTGGATATATTTAGGAAAACTTATTTTGGACAATCGGCACTCTCAGTCGGAGAAGAAGACAAATGGATGTCAATTTTCCTCTATAGATGTTTCAGTATTTTTAAAACTACACATGGTTCAAGACAAACCAATCATGAGATCACTCATCTAAACCTCTGTATGGAATCAACTGTTTTCCAAGACTATATATTGTACATTTTGTATGATGTTTTGTAAGTGATGTATTGTTTGTAAAGTTGCAATTGTTCTTATCTAACTGTCTGTATTGTCTTTCAATGTTTTCCTGCCCAGGGACCGCAGATGCAAATGACCTATATAGCTAACTCTTGCTGAGCAATTGCGTTCTGCATCTCCCTGTTAAACAAACTAATGAACAAAACTGAGCTGGATGGGTGCTCTTCCGTTTAACTTCAGCCTATAGATTATACTCACCACTTACTGTACATACAGCTGCATGAATCAGCCACTCATAATATATGAACTTGGATTTGAGCTGCTTAAAAAGGCTCTTCGTGTCATAAGGTGAGCTTTTACCATAAAAAACTGCAATGCTTCTTGTTAGTTTGATATTGAACAACATTTATATACTACTGCCTTTATATTTTCTGCTGAGAGATGACTACAAAGAGGCAGAAATTAATAACTTCATTATGCAGATGAGGATTAAGACAACTACCAGTTTGGGAATGTGACATGACACTTACAGTAAGTATGATCTTATTTGACGGCTCCAGTGTTCTTGTTGCAAAGTGCATTCATGGGGCCACTCATGCAGCATACAAAATCGCTTTTCGATCTGGACTCAAGGAGCACTTGGTAAAAATCATTTGAAACAATGAACAGGACTGCACAGACCTCTAATAGGGGCTTTAGGGGTTAACTTTAATAATGGCAGAGCTAATCAGATTATGTTATTCTCTGTATTTAGAAAGTTGAACTTCTGTAGATTCATTACACCCTCATTTATCTTCATTTTAATTTGTATGAACAAAATATTTAACAAACTCACAATAAAATGTAATTATCCCTCACAATTGTTGTCAAATTTGATTCAGTGCATCGTTAACAGTCAATTGGCAATGTGGCTGAAGCGCACCAGTCAATATCTAAAAGGTCACTAATGACAGAACATGTTCGTATTCAATGTGGCGGATGTATTGTGCATCTGAGAAAGGGCAGTGGTTGGGGAAAATATAATGTGCATTGATCCTCAGGAGTGTTACTGATTTGCTTTCTTCCTGCCTCCAGGCGTGTCTCTCTCAAAACATTTTAGCCTGGATGTATCAATGCAGCAGCACCCGCTGACAGGCCTGGCTGAGACTTTATTTCCAAAATAATCCACAGTCTAGAAGTGAATGGGACTGAGCAGTGCTGCCGCATGCGGGTGCAGTCACTCAGGACCAAAAAGTAAGATGCCACAGCTCCCCCTGTGCTCCACAGGGCGAGCAGAAAAGGCAAAACTCTGGGGCTGCTTTTCCCTTCGCCAGGTGGAAAGTGATGATTTGATTCAGGGACAATTAATACTTTTGTGACAGACCATCTGCTGAGTCCCACCAAGAGAAACACAGTAAAAGCAACCATTAAGGATTAGCCAAATACCTGTTAATCATACTTAGAGCTGATCAAAAGATGCTTTAGCAACAATACTGTATTCTCACTGTTGGTGAGGAACTGCCATATTAGCACCAAGTTCTACAAAAACAGCATTTAGGATTTGAATGAATAAATAGTGTAGCTGTGGCACTAAAGCTGCATTGCTCATTGCCTTTGAAGTACTGATTGCATGTGGCATTAACCACAAGCTCTTACTTTGTTGTTTCATTTGTGTTTGTTTGGCCAATTTATGTGACAGCGTAGAAAGAACACGTCTGTTTTTGCACTCACCCGCTGCCACGGCCGACCACATAACAAAGAACATCCCCACTGCGATCCTCTTCAGAGACGAAGGCAGCAGGCCGCGGCGTTTCAGGATAGGGTCCACCACTTTGTCCTTAAGGGGAATCAGCATGAGGATGAGCACTGCGTCAAACATGGTGAGCCAGGCGGCAGGGAAGCGGAACGTCATCTGGGGGGATCCAGGGGAGAAAGATGAGGTAAAAGTGTGCAAAAAGCAACAAAGCATAAAAACTACGGAGAATGTCAGCGCATTGCAACACAGGTCACAAAGTGTTTGTGTGTATAGGAGTGTGCATGTGAGTGTGTACAGTTTGGGGTTGATATTGCTTTGGCACCCCCAGGTGGTCAAAATCAAACATAATGAAATGAAAAATGTTTCTTCAGTTCACAGTAGAAATAGCACACATTTAAATCAATAAATTACTAGTAAGTAAATGGAGGCGTTATTGTTGGTGTTATTTATATTATCATAAGTAGTTTTTATATACTTCTCTAATAGGTGCATACAAGACAAAGTGTATCTGACTAAATTAAAAATACAATTTTTCAGCACACATTCTAAACGTAGCACTATAAAGTGTAATCTATGAAAGGAATAATTACACCGTGCAAACAGACGGGATAAAATATCAATCGGAGGGAAAATCCACTATGAGCATACAAGGAATCTACAAGTTAAGACAATATTTCACTGAGTGAGCAATGACAGACTGCAAACTGCTGCAGATGTTTTTTGCAATTCAAATTTCAAGTACCATCTGAGCTCCCAATGTGTCTCTGGTTTAACACTTCTGATAGCATCATTTATTCTCAAATTGAATTTCCATTTCTCGGCGTAACCGCTGGCAATCTATACGCAGCTCCTTAGAGATTGTTTTCCTCCCTTGTTTGCACATTATCATATTCAAAATGATAGAGAGTGAAAAGGGAGGCTTTTCCTTTGCCAAGGAAAGCCTGGCATGAATGAAGGAGGAGTCCCGGCAGGCTCAGGTTCGTGGTGGGCATGATGTTCTGCTTATTATACTTCCTCAAATTGACTAACATACACATGTTCTGTATGTACAGTATATACACCTCATGTCATGGTTCTCAGGTTAGGAACTTTAGAGATGATAAACAAGAAGGTGGCCACCACTTCTTTATATGCATCAAATAAATTAAATTATAGCTTCAAATTTAAAGTAAATTAAAAATACATTCACTTTACAAAAAGTAGTTTAAACCAGTACTAATGCAAATAGTGAAAACAGATTTACTGTACATTCACAGAGACATTAAATACATGCTGCTACATTGGAGTAGTAATCTAAGGATCTCATCTTATCTTCTAATAAAGTACAACATATTCACTCCTGCCTTCCACTCCGAGTTTTTTTTTTTTTTTTGTGCTCTGTTTCCTTGAAGAGACATTATTTTTTCAGCTTTGCCATTGAAATGTGTCAGGTGAGGTGAGGGAGCAAATCACAGAGGCATCTAATCTCACTTCCCTTTTGAAGTCGAGAAGTGTCGAGGCTGGTAGCAGAAAAGGCTCAGTTCTGTTTTTGATACTAGATAAATAGTCTGTGAGGGAGGGGTGAAAAAAATGCCGATGTATTTCATAAACAGTTAAACACAGTGGGTTGTAAGTAAACAAAACTGTGTCAGATAGTTTCACCGTCACGTCTCTGTGTGAGTATTATTGTGAGATGTAGCAATATATATAGATGTCATATATACAGCGCTCTGTTAGATTGTGTGGTTTTCAAGCAAGTGTTTCACTTCACCTTTCCATGAAGTCAGCGCGCTTCACTGTCTGCTCAAAAAGAACAGGCGCACTATACATACTACACTTCCTAGTATTTTCCCATTTCATCACCTTTAAACCTTTGATTTTTGAGGAGCCGTATATCATGTGGTGTAACCATGGGGGATTCTGTCATCAAAGCCCTACAGAAGCTAACATACAATCTGTCAGAGGGAGACTCTGGTACAGCAGCAACACTTGTCAGGAAGAATCAGTTGGAGGCGCTGCTGCAGAGAGGTACAGTCACAGCCAGGTTGCTAATCTGCGAGGTATTAGTCTGTGAAGTAAAGTTCTGACTTAATCCCCAAGGTATTACCAACCTTTGCTGCTGCCTCCAGCTGTTGCCTACCATTGTGTGTCAGTGACCTACTGACTCCTTTAGTTTCAGCAGTGAAAATCTAGTTCAAACCTACTTATGAAGAGACAGGATAGAGTTCCATACTAGTGTATTTAACACAACAAAATTATTACAAGTCACCGCACCATTGCTATTTATTTTAAGTAAACAAGAAACTAGTACTAACACTGAGTGTCTCATTTTTAGGTTACCTTGTGGGGGTCAGCTGTGATGTTCGGCTCACCACCAGGAATCCTCAGATGGAGGCTCTGCAGGATGTACGTTGTCTGCATCTGCAACACAATAAGGAGATTAGAGTCTCAGCATGCAGTAATTCTCCAGTTCATGACCACCAGGATGCCTGGTGCAAAACCATTCTTCTCCCGTACTAAAACGGATAATAATCTACCCACATATTAACACATGGCGGGTGCATATCTGCATCCAGAAAGCTTTTAGTCCCACATTAAATTGCTTTATATTTTTCATCTTGCGTTAAACATGACTCATAGGTTGACCTTACCTGGAAGTATACGGTCCAGTATGGGATAAGGGCAAAGAAAACTGGGAGGATTTTCACCAGGGCTTTCACTTCCTCTACTTTCTCTTCTGGATATTTTCCTCCATAGGTCACTTTGGCACTGTCAAGTAGTGTTGGTTTGTTGCTTCGTGGGGATAAAAGAGAAAAAAATAACCTTTAAAATACTATCTAAAACTACAGTGTGATTGATAGCACAAAATAAACATATAAATAAACAAACTCTTATTATAAACTGTGTGAGACTTAATCAGCCTTTTTTGTGAACATCTTACCCTTCAATTAAAGCACTTCTAGAGACAGGGAAGAAACTATATTCTAAAGCCTATAATCCACATCTCTCGAGAAAATGTCTTAATATGGAATTCATGAAAAGGCTGCTGGATTGCCCAACTTAAAATATTCAATGTTAAGTTTTTGAACCAATTGTGCTACTTTGGTTCAAAGTCAAGTAACAGCACTTCAGAATAACTTTTCACCACAGGAATGAAGATGAATGCCTGGACATTCATCTTCAGAAAAGAATTATACAGGGGAGATCAAAGGCGGCTTTAGCATAAAGATCTACCAACAACACCTAGCTGTGTTATTCCGCTGGAGTCACCATGAACAAAAAATACTTGCCTCTCTGTTGGAAAGAGCCTTCCCATTGAGATTGATGAATGCTTTGCTACGACACAGTTATTGTCAGCGTGCTGTTTGTCATTGAGGGAATGACTTTACCACTTTAACTGCCTGACAATACAGTTTTATGTAGTCTTTTTCCCATCACTACATAAAAAAATCCTTTGAAATGACTGACACACAGAAGATACATGCCGTTCTCACCGGAGCAGGTTGGGCTCCTTTGGTTTCTTTGAACAGCAGGCGAAGCCCAGGATCTTGAACATATCTGTGAAGGCGCTGCCATCAGCAGGCTTAGTGATGAAGACAGTACGGCCCAGGAGAAAGACCAGGAAGGAGACCCCGAGGCACACAGTGGGGATGATGTAGCCGAGCACAAAGCTGAAGTTTTGCTGGATGTAAGCCACACCTCCCAGAGACAGAATAGCTCCTAAGTTGATGCACCAGTAGAACCAGTTGAAGAATCTGCGCGTGGCCTCTGGTCCTCGGTCTTTGACCTAAAAATCCAAGATGACAGCAAACATTCATGTCACTAAAGTGAGAATTTAAAGACAGATTTGTCTCATAGATAAGACCTTGTACTCTGAACACTTTTACAGCTGTATGTCATACTAGTTTGACTGTCAGCTAGCAGCATTTGTCAGCTATAAAAGAAGTGTGCTCATCAGCACTTTGATATGCAAGTTTTCAATGTCACATGAGGAAAATGAATCCAGGAAGACTAACTATTATGCATTTTAACAGCAGCTGCATTTGTCAACAAAATGTAAAATCCTGATAATACAGGACAGAAAGACAAACTGCACTACATAAAGAGGAACAATGATCACAAGCTGAAACTCAGAGGGGATGTGATGTCACATGAAAATGACTGTATTTAGTGTGATAAAAATGTAATTAACAGTGAAATCTTTTTGCATCTACAGCCATATGAAATTGGTGGATATAAAAAGCAACAGGAGAGGCGTGATTCTTTTCTATCTTAATTGAAGGATAACCAAAATAAACAGCAACTTTTTGTTTATTCTTTATCTGCTTGCATAATTTGCTATGATAGGCTACACCATTAGCTTAACAAAACTGCAATAAATTCTGGCAAATGTCTATGCAAGCAAATATTATTATTCTCATAATGGCACTGATCCATTCCACGAGCAGTTATCCCCGCTGGAAGAAAAGATTTTATCAATGTGTGATGAAGTGGCTATGTCTTTTATATATGAGCACAAAAGATGCAGCGGTACAGCTACAATTAACTACTGGGGAGATAATGTCACGGCATTCACAAGCCAATGCTGAGCGTAAATCTTCCTGGAGTTGTTTCTGCAGTTGTGCAGCGTCAGTTACGAAATTCATCATCATGCTCACACTGACTACCTGATTGCTGTGTGTTATAGAGAACTGCATTACAATGCATTCAAAATAATACATACATTGAGCAGGGTGCTTTTATAACTCCTACGTTTAGTTTTGACACAAGATCAATCAGCATAAGTGGATGTGTTCCCTCCAGCTTTTAGTCATGTGAGGACAAGACAAGCATCTAATTTATCATTCATTGTTGACCCTCCATCAAATACAGAATATGATCAGGAAATATTACAGTGATCAAAGGCTGATAGACAATACATCTGCAGTGATTCATAAAAGGACAAGAAAGGCAGACAGCGGCATTACAGTCTCCTACCCTTTGTAAACTGCCTTAATGTCATGTCTCAATAAGATCTATCCACCACCAGCCTATCTGCCTTCACAGATGCAACAGCAGCCTCAGTAAATCTGTTACTTCATGATTACAATGATCAAGCTGCATATTAATTAATAAAAAAATACTCACACTGACTGTGGCAATCGCAAGAAGGTGCAATTATTGTTGTTTAGACAGAAACCAAGCTGCATGTTACAGAAAATATTCTATTTAACTCAATTCGAGCAAATATCAAGTATTAAGAGCTCCCACTGCCACTTGTTAAGGACTTTAATCTAGAGTTCTGCAGTTCATATTATCTTTAGTACTCATAAAAAAGGAACATATTTGTCAAGTTTTATAATTGCCTTTGGTTGACAATTACTGGTACCAGCAAAACGTAGCTGATTTATTCCATCTAATGCTGTTTTCGTCTGCTGTGCGCTGCTTTAAGTTGTATTCGTTTCTGTGTTTCTCTTTTGTTTGCCTCTAATGTATGGATTTTGGTTGATGTTGTGTACTGTGTGTGTTTGAACATGATCAAAAGGAGCATTGACAAAAACGTGAAAATCTTGTAATAAGCGTAGTGGGCTCAAGAACTAATCATATTCACCCCACCAATTCCCTTTGAAAGGTTTTACCCAGATTATTTTGAAAAACAAAGACCCCATTGATGAACTTTCCCATTTCTGTGACTGCTTCTTGACAGGGTCTTCTGGATAATCTGACGCTATTTGTCACCAGGCTGTGAGATGTGCTCTTATTGCCATCATTTGGAGTGTTTGTGTGTGTGTACATACATTACTGTGAGTGAGTGGAAGAGAGGGGTTGTCATTGGCTCTATATTGTGCTCTAAAATGTCAGCTTTATAGTGGAAATATGTATAAGTAGCCATGATGATCAAGGCCATGCATGTCCAAGTGAACTGTCATGGTGCAAAAGAAATCCCATCACATGTCTGACCTCCATGATGTCACACTGCATACCCAATCTAATACAGGCCAATATCAGGAAATGAATGGTATTTAAACATCTCCTAGCCTACGACGAACCCGTGTCTACTTTCAACATTATTTACTTGACACAAACTTAGAGATCTGAAGGTAATATTGTTCATACTCTACCTGATCTGCCCCAAAGGGAGTGATGTTGGACTTCACAGTACCCACGCCCAGTGCAACTAAAAAAAGGCCACCATAGATGACTGGGCCACAATATGGGTCACGAATAGGGCAGGTTACATTGCTTGGAACGGTACCGTTTGTGCTCAGACACTCAGCAGGTTGCACAGGAAACGCTGCCTCTTGTCCACATAGCTGTATCCTGGTGCCATCACTTGAAATGAAAGGGAAAAATAGCATGCCAAGAAAATATAGGATCAAACTGAAAGCAATTGTCAAGAATTTCCCAAGGTATGCATCCGCCAGCCAGCCTCCAAATGGAGAAATCAGGTAAGTGACACCCATGAACACAAGAGGTGCCTGGCTCGCCTGGGTGCCCTGCCAGTAAAAGGGGTCACTGTTGAGAAAAAGGACGAGATTGGAAGTGATGCCGTAAAATGCAATCCTTTCTAATGACTCGGCCAGCAGGATGGCTGCACATGCTAGTCTTCTGCCATGGAAAACTGATGGCGTTGGGGGTCTGCTCCCAGAGCCTGAGTCCAATAGAGGGGTGCTCTCACCGGCATCCCTGTTGTTAGCCATTCTCTCCTCTTAATGGTTTAAGTTATTCTTTATTACGAACTTCAGAGTTCAAACCTACGAAGAAAACACAGAGAGGGTTAGACATGTAAATTAAACATTGTCACCAGTATGTACACGGAGAAAACAGCTAACGTTAGCCGTGCCGACATCTGAATTACCCCCTCTTATCATATGCAACACAAGCACTTAGCAAGTAACTTATAAACCTTAAGTAAGCTAGCATTAGCATAACGATAGCTTGGTAAGAGTTTGTTTTTACGTTACCTTTAGTTATTTCAACACGTCCCACCGGTCCTCACTTATCTCCATTAACCTAGATAATATGTACCGCAAAATGTTTTACTTTGTCTCGTCTTGAATCAGTACTTTGTCAAAGGAGAACTGGAAGTCAACAAAAAAAACAGTGTCACAGTACTGTCGCGTGACACATAGCTCACAGTCAACAAACGGCCACACTTGCGTTGCTCCGGAGACGATCTATAAGTGAAAATTACCCGACGTGCCTTGCAAAGTAATGCCGGGGCAGCCCATCCCTGTGATTTAGAAGTTTGTTCCGGTTACGCAGACGTCGAGAGAAGGAAGTGATGGTGCGGTTATTTTTTTTTCTTTTTTATGTGTTATCGCTGATTCTGGCATTCACACGCTTGTCAGTACACATTAGCGTGTCACGGGTCGTTTTTTTTAAGTCGGTTTGAAATGATAGCATCGAGACATAACACTGAAATGGGCCGACAGTCCCCTGTACAGTATGTGCTACCGTCATGTGTTTCCAGGGGATCATATAGGAGACGGACTTGTAAACATTTCAAGCGTGGGTAGTTTGCGGTGCACTGCCAAGTCAGTAATGAGCTATCCTTGTGGCGCTCGTGTCTAGCTTTGCTTCAACTAGCAGGCATGACTTCAGGAAATATGATAGCAGTTGTAGTTAGCGAGCAAACAGCACATCGAGGCTCTGCTTGCTTCATTATTCCAACAGGTTTTCACTAAAGTTTACATGATAACTAACCTAGGAAACTCGTCAGAACAGCCTTTAGAGGAGATATGAAATTACTCTTTCTTGCTTGTCTCAGCCCTAAAACTGGGAACCACACTACAGCTGAGAGAATAAGGTAATTTACGTTGTTGCTGAGTGTAGCTAGCTACAACAGTTGGTGCTAATTATTATTTACCTGGTAAAAGCTGCATTAGGAAACAGCAGTGTAGTTAACTCTTAACCAGGGCTACTTAAAAATACAGTTGTTTGTTTTAGTGTACAATGGCTAATGATTTAACTGTCTACCTTACTTTACAATGACTTATCAGCCATAACATAATAATTCAGGTAGCTGTAGGTAGAAAGCAATAAACAATAAGAAGCCATCATCACATTCGATGACTGTTGTTCAAGACTTTAAAGATAGTTTTAATGTTTGTAACTTTACATAACCATCCTGCCTTCCTGCCAACCGCAGTCATGTGTCTTTTATTTCAGGTCCCACATTGAATCAGCAGGACACACATGTGAGCTCAGAGATGCAGCAGAGTTTCAGTCCCCTGATGAGGTGGCAAACCTAGTATCTCGAAACCCACCATTTGAGGGTGCGCTGGCAATTCATCTGTTCAGAGCAGGCAGACTTCTCTTAGGTAAACATCCTTGCTGTTATATGATCTGTTTACTTATCTCCATGCCTGGAGTCATTTGTGTTTGCCAAAATAATATTGGACCTACAAGTATACTGCTACCTGTCCCACAAATGTCAGGACCTTTTCTGTTTTCTGTTTAACCTTTACACCAGACATCCAAGTACCCTTTGGCGTTATCTTTGGCGGAACAGATATAAATGAAGATGTGAAAGTTGAGCAGAAGCGTGTGGTTATGGAGCAGGTGCTACTGAAAGCCAGGTGATGTTGCTGCTGAACTATTTTAACCTATTGACGTACAAATAGTTCCAAACTGAGTACATGTATTTTACTCCTCGAGTCAACACATCACACAGCCTTGTTTAAAAATGAGTTTGGAAAAGATTGTGCTAATAACCACTATGAATTAGACCTACTATATGATTGTAGAATATGTAATAGACAGTTTGTACAGCAGCATTCCTAGCATCTCATAGCAGGAAAAGCACAAGTGCAACTAATAAGATGTCATGAGACATGTTACCTCTTGCATCTATTTGAACAAGTTATGTGTTGTGAGTGTGATATAAATGTGGTCGTACAGTTGTCTCAAAATAATAATAACACACACTTCATCCATTATTAGTGCCAAATATGTTAGAAATGTATCACACTGTGTTTTACTTACTGCCTTTTAGAGAGGTTTGATGCAGACGTCGCCATCATGAAGTGCAGGCAGGAAGTAATTGTGACCTTTTACATCTCTAATCTGAAATTGTGCAAATGAAATTAAAAATAAACTCGAATGAATCACATGTTTTTCCTTTATCATGGACATAATCACAAATCATTTATAGCTTTTCAAGCCCAATCAATGGTATATTGCCACAAATCACTGCAAATGTGGCCTATTTAAATATAAGGATGGCATTCATCCTTTTGATAATGTTGTAGATATTACTTTTAAAAATGCATGATGCTCACAATGTAGAGGATATCTTTTACCATGACTTGAAATAATTCAAAGCATTTGAATCATACTGACTAGGGTGTCAATTATTTGTGGGTAAAATAAAGGACTAGATTCTCACAACATCCTCCAGCGCCTGGAGTACTGGCATGAAAGAATGAGGGTGAACGTATGCAGGCTAACTCCAGCTGTGCAGGTTGTGTATTATCCTCTCACCTAGTTTAACATTGAAAAATTAATGTGCACTCAGTCTTAAAAGTGTCTGGCCCTGCACCAGACCAGGCACCAGGATAAAGTGACTGAGGGGACTGTTAAAAACTGCAAGAGGGCAGTTTTGTTTATAAAATAAAATTCAGCTATTTAACTATTCAATAGCCCCAGGAAGGCTAAATAACAACAGCAACAGCATAAGGCTACTGTTTCAAAATTAAAGAATACATTTATTAATCAGAGCACTCACACGCGAACGTAAAACTATCAGAGCGCTGAATATATTTTCAACTTATGAATGATTCTCTGTCAAAATTTGCGGGGGGGGAGGTGTGTACAGGATGTGTTTGTGGCTTGCTGCTCTCTTTCCCTCTATCAATTCCCTTCACTGCGTTTCAGTACTATAGCCAGCACGGCCTTAACATACATGCATACACAATTGGTGCATGCAACGGCTGTTGTTTTTGCAATTTTTCTGTAGGTACATAAGCCTAAAGAGAGTGGGCAGAAAATAAAACTGAGGAGGCTAAGTCTCCTCAAAGGACTACTTCACCCACATGAATGATCATTTGTGTATCAAATTGTTATGTTGAATTTGTGAAGAAAAGGTTGTTTTCCTCGCCTACCTCCATGATGAAACAAAAAACAAACAAACAAAAAATCTGAGAAAATTCTTGATGAATTGAAGTAAAAAGGGTTGCATTTAACAACACCAAAGCTATATCAAAAACATCCGTTTACAGACTCTCACACAACTCATGCAAAATAATCATATTTTTCTTATATTTTATCCAGTCATATGCTCAGTACTTCCCACTTCTATGTATGAGTAGCACGGCTCCTGCATTCCATTAAGCAGAGTTCAACATATGTATGTGCTCGCCCAGGCACGCTCCACGCGTGAGACTGTCGCAGAAGTGTTTTAAATAATAAGGTTGTAACGAAAATGCATGGATAAATGAGACTTTGACTATACTGCAAGAGTTGTGTGAGAGTTTAACAGATATTTTGATAAGGTTTTTGCTGTTGTAAAGCACAGCCCGTTTTACTTGAATGCATCAAGAATTTTCTCAGTTTTTGGATTCCTTGTTCACCATTGAGGCATGCAAGGAAAACAGTTTTTTTCAGGAATTCATCATAACGCAGGGTAAGTGATTGATGTACAAATAATCATTTTATTGGTGTAATATCCCTTCAAGACCCCTTGTGGTGCTGGGGCCGCCCTGGGCCTTAACGTCAGACTCAGGTATCTCTGTTATTATGATGAAAATAGTTGGTAGGGCATCCATCTAAAGGGATAATTGCCTTCTGGGAGAGCTGGGAAGATCCAGGTCTCATGACTTCAAACATCTGAATCCATGCACCTCCTGCTGCTTGTGCCTTCTCACACAAACCTTGATCATGATATTCAGCCACCACTCAGAGCTTGTTGGCCCATTTAATAATGCACGCTCACACGCGCACAAATTAATATCTCCCCACTGTTCTTTGCTCTACATTTCCTTTGTTTTCCTCTTTGTATTCTTGGTTGATCCATCCTTAAATCCTTTTGCCTTCAAACCACAAGCAGTTTTTCTGCTCTCATGTACTCAGCCTCAGCCTGGAGACTCTTGTGTTTTAATGCTTTTGCCTCTATTGTTGTCAAAATTGTTATTGCTTGTAAAAGGCTAAAAGTTACTGTCAGCAATGAAAAGTCTTGTTTTACTCAAATGGCTTTCACAGGGGTGATAATGAAGTGTTTATTCATTTTTTTTATCAGGTTTGCAGTTGCATTTACTGACAAACTGAAAGAAGAGGCAGAGTTATTTTTGGTATGATTCTACTCTTTTGTGTTTTGAAAGTGCTGTAGTTTATATCTAATAAGCACTGATGCTTGCATGTGCAAATCTGTGTCTCATGTGGCATACAGCTGTTACCCGTTCTAGAAAAATGTCTGTACTGTATGTGCCTAATTGATGGTTCATCAGTGTGTTTATGACTGCGTGTTATGCTGAACCCACCACCCCCACATAAACTTAGCAACTAACAAGACTGTCATAGGCGACATTTTATAATTTAATATTACAAAGCTACTATGAAGAATCAAGTAGTGAGTGCACAAGTTTTTTGTTTACATTTCATGGCGCATCAACAGACTGCAGTGCCAGGACAGCTTCAATAAATACAACAGAAGGGCTTTTACTATACAATCACAATATCCTGCCCTGCCCCATAATAGTTT